GGAACAAGATGGTCAGTCCCTCAGCCTGGAGAACAGTTCAGCTCCATGGTCTGGAACAAGGTGATCAGTCTATCAACCTGGAGAACAGTTCAGCTCCATGGTCTGGAACAAGGTGATCAGTCTCTCAGCCTGGAGAACAGTTCAGCTCCATGGTCTGGAACAAGATGGTCAGTCCCTCAGCCTGGAGAAGAATTCAGCTTCATGGTCTGGAACAATATGAAGCTGAAGCATGAGAACAGAGTCTTAAATATTGTGTAAGGTGAGGTGGAAGATCTCGTTGTATTTGACTGAAGAAGTCTACTGTGTAGGTGAAATGTTTCAACAATAAAGATGCCCAACTGTTGTACATGTGTCTTTATCTTCAACTTGTCGGTATTTTATACCATTATCAACAAAAGTAATACTCGACAGATGCAATTTTGCAATTGCAGAAAAAATCGCACTATAAACAGTAGGTTTATAAGAAACTTGAACGTACTGTATATTTCGTCATCATTCTGAGGCCCTCTTCAGCAGGGTTCTTATGTGTAGTATACTCATCCGCTTTATGTGGCTTTACCTTTCCTGACTCTTAACTGTGAAGATTAAGACACACCTGCAACACTATTAATGAAGTGTTTGGCCTCAACAGTAGGCTTCTTCAGTCAAATATAGAAGCAGCAGTGTCTTACAGGGCACGTCAGTCCCCTCTGTTTTCAGATGTTATTTTTACACTATAATCTACCTTATTCATAATTACTATCACATTTAGTTCATCTTCTTTCGTAAGGTGAAGTCCAGGATCTTTCCTTAATTCATGGTATAACTTAAAAAATCTTTGATGAGTGTGTTACAGAGGTGTGAGCTTTGCTCTGGCCTCTACAACACAATTGTCATTAAAGGTTGCAATTGTGTTGCGATTGTGTTGCAGAGGTCAGAGCAAAGCTACAACACAGTTGTCATCAAAGATTTGTTAAGTTCTACCATGAATTAAGGAAAGATCCTGGACTTCACCTTACGAAAGAAGATGAAACAAATGCGATGGTAATTATGAATAAGGTAGATTATAGTGGAAAAAATAAACACGATATCAGGAGACAGGGAAACTTAGGCGCTCATAATCTTCACCAAGTCAGTGTTTTATACAGTTTTCAACACTCTTAACTGTACATACATTGATTAATATCATAATCAACACCAATCTCTTAAAGCCTCCAGAGTCTTGACATACGTTGATCACTGAGGACACTCAACCCAGAGAAACCTTTGTAATGATGTTTCGTCCAGGACGAAACGTCAAGGATACTTTTCTCCAGGATGATTAGGTGAAAGTTCAGCCCTAAGCGAAACGTTGCAAGGAAGGTTTATCTGCCAACATGTCTTTTTCACCACCTCAGTCAACTTACTCCCTTCTTGTTTCTGTCTTCGTGAACCACACTTAATACCTACAGTCTGACTTCTACATTTTCCAGTTTGACTTATACACTTTCCAGTTTGACCTCTACACTTTCCAGTTTGACCTCTACACTTTCCAGTTTGACTTCTTCACTTTACAGTTTGACTTCTACACTTTCCAGTTTGACTTCTGAACTTCCAGCTTGACTTCTACACTTTCAGTTTGACTTCTGAACTTCCAGTTTGACTTACACACATTCCCGGTTTAACTAATACACTTCCATTTTGGCTTTTAAACTTTAATTTCGGTTTCTAAATTTCCAGTGTGGCCTCTAAACTTCCAGTTTGACTTCTAAGCTTCTATTTTGGCTTCTAAACTTCCAAACTTCTAGGTAGGCTTCCAATCTTCCAGTTTGACTTCCAGTTTTCCAGTTCGACTTCCAATCTTCCAGTTTAACTTCCACTCTTCCAGTTTGACTTCCGGTCTTCCAGTTTGACTTTCAGTCTTCCAGTTTGGCTTTGCCTTCCAGTCTTCCAGTTTGACTTCTAAATTTCCAGTTTTGCTTCTAAACCTTCAGTTTGGCTTCTAAACTTCCAGGTAGGCTTCCAGTTTGACTTCCACTTTGGCTTCTAAACTTGTTAGATAACTTAACCACTAATTTGACAAATAATGTACTATAAGGTTTCACTAATGTTGACGACCAGTGACTTATCTAGGTGACTCGATACTCGTTAATGAACTTTTGCTCGCCTTCATGACCTGTGACCTTTGTGACAAGCAGACTTGGTGACCTTACAACTAACCTTAAAGAACTTCTGTGCACCTTTATATCATCATCTAGGTTGGCCTGCAACCTATGCTGTGAGAGATTGCCTTAAGAACCACGGCTTACTCTTAGTGACTTTTAACAAGTGACCTCTGACTCATTATCGTTTTGTTTTAGTAACTAGTGACCTATTTTATTAAGCTTATGTTAGTTGGTAAACATTTACAGCCTCAGAAAACATGAGTGAGTTTTTACATTCTAACACCACCATTTATGTGCTTCAAGGTAATGTGAAGATGTGTAATGTAGTCTCCAGAGTCGCTACTTGGCAGTTTGTTCCACTCCTGTGCAGCTCTGTTGCTAAACCTGTGTTTTCCTATAACCTTCCTGAATCTGAATTTATCCATCTTGAATCTAGTATTCCGAATTCTGTCCTGGTTATTGTTGATAATACACGATAAGTTGAAAACTCGCAACGATGGACGAGTGTGGTAAATTCATGTTTAGAATAAACATAAAAAACATCGCTTTAGCGATTAGATTTCTTTTAGATTTTACCATCGAAGTGGTTAGTTTATTGTACACTTTATATCCATCCTGTGGAAGGCAGCGCAAGAACATATGGATACACAAAAGACCTAGGAACTGGGCCCCAAAAGGGTTAACAGGAGTACATTTGGATTTCACTTATCTGTTACAAATAAATTTAGGAAATTTGCTTATTATATCTGGTATCTTATTTTCGTTAATAAGATATCTTTCTGTCACATAGGTTATTATACTTTAGTGATGGATGAGAGAAACTGCCAAGTAGCTTCATTGAAACAAATATTCTGGGTAGCTTTAAAGTAGGTTAGACAGGTGCATGATTATTATTGTAACACTAAGCGCTAAACCCACCAGGGTGATGGGTGCATGAGTGAGAATGTTTGGGCATGATGTGAACGTGCCAGACATGAGCCAGTACTCTGTTCTGAAGTTCATGACGTGACTCTAACATATGATAAACACAAACTGATCTTAGTGTTCTTGCGAGTATTGTTTCTCTTCCAACTGAGTAACCTTGAACTTTACAACCCTTCTTCATTGACTTTTACCCTTCCCTGCCTATCTCTTTTTCTCAGTAACTTGAACTAAAATTGACCTATGAGTGTCTTGTTTTGTACTACAACACCCAGTGTGTATTTCAGTAACACCAGTAATGTAAACACTAGTTGCTAGTATTTAGTGTGCTAGTATTTAGTGTGCACCTTGCTGAAGTGTTTGGTCTCGGGTCAAACCTGTCTTCTTACAACCTTGTTCATTGTTACTCCTTGCTGGTTATGAAGGTAAGACTTATTACCTCACACATTAATTAAGCCAGAACTCAGACACATGAAGCCAGACCTCAGACACACATGAACCTAGGCCTCAGACACGCATGGACCTAGACCTCAGACACACATGAACCTAGACCTCAGACACACATGAACCTAGACCTCAGACACATGAACCTAGACATCAGACACACATGAACCTAGACCTCTGACACACGAACCTAGACATCAGACACACATGAACCTAGACCTCAGACACATGAACCTAGACATTAGACACACATGAACCTAGACCTCAGACACTTCTAGAGATCATAGGGAGATGCACCAATACAGGAAACCTAACAGAAAAGATTTAGGAAACTCTTAAGTAGATATCAGTCCTTCATAGTGTGCTGTCTTGCCTATACACATGGGCTCGAATGTTTGTCTTGTACCATGCTGAACACGCCTTTTGACGCTTCCACTGCTAGACTCCCTTCACTTTTCACTCGTAGATGGCTCCGTAATGTTGACGCGTGTTTGGATGTTCGTGAATGTCTGTAAAGCCATCATCATATTAGATTGTAGTGTGCCCAAACTAATAGTACATTGAGAAAAGAATGGGAAATTCTGAGCGTTTTCTTATGTTCAAAAGCACACCATAAGCGAGGCTTTGGATATGTGTATGTGGACACACGAATGCGCTCAAGTGAGTCCTTGCCATGGTAGTGCATTTGATGGGAAGAAAAGACAGGTTGCAGAAGTTTTTATGGGGACAGCGTGTAGAGCTTTATCAAGTCTTGGTAAAGCGTGATGTCCCAATAAAAAGTGTCCTGCAACGTATGTCTTTTCCTCACTTGTTGACAGTATTCCATTTAGATGCTGTGTATGTGACGCTGTGTTGACCACCAGAGTTGTAAGTCCCAGACCTTCCTGCCTCTCTCTCATCCGTCCATAGCCTGTGTATGTTGTGTTTAGGCAGCGAGTGTTGCCCCTGCTCTTCTGGTGTTGTGGATCAGGTGAGGAACCAGGTTGTGCATGGCCCTGAGCATGTAACGTTGCTGCTGCTGACTACTGCATGGGTAGCGTCAGCCCCCGTCTCTTGTGTGAAGGTAGTTTGGGTTGCAAATGCAACCTCCGTAGTTTGCCACCCCCCACCCAGGCGACGTGAACCTCTCCCACTGCGTTGCTGTAAATTAAACCTCAGTTATAGTAATGAAACATGACATATGTCTCAGCTTTTTTGGTGCCATTTTCATGACTAAATAAGAATATTCTTATGATTAAATTACTTCTTCCAGGATGCTTGCCTTTTTTCAGAGAATTCGTGGTCAGCTATGGCCAGGGCTTTTAACAAGAAACTGCTTTCGTTCTTTCCCGCAGATGATAGTGTTTGGTCTAGGGTCATAGTTTAGTATGCTATTGGTAAGCGGTGGCTTATGCTGACATCCTCGGCACTAATGGTGCTCATGGCAAGGGAATTAAGAACCCCGGCTTTTCCCTGAACTCTCAGATAACTCAAGTTCTGACTCTTTGTCTCCTCTCCTCTATGGTTTATCAGAGACGGCCCTGCCCCCGCACGTGCTGCCGGGTTTGTCTCCGTCAGACGATGGTGCGGGTACGTCCCACGCAGCCGACTATAACACCGGCTACGGTCCCTACACTAAGAACGAAGGGGATCCGCACCACCTCACCTCTGACGGCACGGATTCTAGCGGGCAACGTATGACCGTCACCCCGGAGCTCTTAGGACTTATGCCTTCCAACGCCACCTCACATTACTCCTCCGGTGAGTACACCTTTCTCCCTCCTTCCACCTACTTCACGCCTATCTTGCTATTCATGAGAAGAAAGGTGGATTACAGTAGGCCTACTGGTTCATGCTAGGCATGTTATAGTCACACCAATCGATTTCTACTCGTATATCTGCCCTTTCAAAGCTATTCAAGGTTCTAGCTTCAGTGACACTACTTGGCACTCTCTTCCACTCATTTGCAACTCTATCGTCATAACTATGTTTATTCTATATCATTTCTAAATTTGAATTTGTGCAGCTTGAATCCAGTATTCCAAGTTGTCTCGCTAAATATTTTTAGCACATTATTTATATCCTATTCCACAACTTTCAAGAGAGAATACGTTTAGAGAGCTCAGATGTGTCTTCGTAAGAATGATTCCTGAGACAGAATTAGTTTTTGTCATCCTTCTCAGTTTTCCAACATATTTATATCCATTCTTTATTAAGGAGACCAAAACTGAGCCAGATCATCTAAATGAGGCCTTACCCAGATTTATAGATTTGTAGTATAACACTGCAAATACTATTATTAACACTTAACACATCTTTCAAGGGAATGGGGTTCCTTCAAGTTGCTGAAGCGTTCTTCATGTAGAGAACTGAAGCTACCTTAATTTTCCTTGGATAAAACCTATTACCTCCCATACCTTATGGGTTCTGTGTTACCTCCATAAATTTAATAATATACTTGACAAATCTAAGCATTTAAGCTTATTGAGCACTGTTGCCTGGCTTTTGACGTCTGCTAAGCAGAACATACAAGTCTTCCTTAACATTGGGTTTCAGTAAATTCTATATATTTATATTCATAAGTTCTGCAGTTAATTTGTGTTCCAAGTGATAAACACAAACACAGTTACTTAACTTTACTGACAATATTTCTCCCACACAGTGGGCTTTATCAAGGCAAAAACAGATAACCTGGAAGAAGGTGGACACTTAATGACAAGTTGAGGTGAGGTGAAGAATAAGAGAGGTGCATGTCAAGTCACAGTGGTTTCCAAACATCCTAAGAATTTTCTGTCAGAGGTTCTGTTAAGATACAAAGCTGCTATATTATTATGGTTGAAATTCTTAGAATTATTGTTGAGTGCTGATTCAAAACACTTCCTCTGTAGTTGTTAATAATGTACTGTTCCAGTTCATCAGATGATTGTGGGGATTTTGGTGGACTGCACAAGCGTTGTTTTGGTTGTACTTCCTGTTGGCATATTGGTGTTCTGAAATGTGACTCTGTAGGTCCCTAGTTGTCTCAATTATATAGATTTGGTAACAGTTGTTCCAAGGAATAATGTATATCCCTGTATGTTTCTTGTGTATAACCCTGTAGTAACCTTGTTATGCTGAGGATGTTTCTTTCTGACAATCTCCTGAATGGTCATGGAGGCATTGGTGTCTGTGTTGAGTTTGTTGTTGAAGAAAGTCACTCTTTAGCAGCAGCGTTGTTGGAGTGAGTTATGTGCATCTTATTGGTGGTATTGGGTCTTGGGGAATTCAAGGCACATCATCTACAGTCCTTGATGAAATAATGAGGGTAGCGTAGCTTGGTGAAAATGTGTTCGAGGAGAGAGCATGCCTCATCAAGAAATTCGCCAATGCAGATACAGTGAGCTCTGATGGTGAAGAAACTACAAGAACAACAAACACATTTAGTCCTGATGTCATGGTGTAAGTAGAGGTGGAGTGAATTGTTGAAAAGTAGGTTTATGGATAGACCTTAAGGCAAAGATTGTTGTTGAACTTGCAGAGGAGAATATCAAAAGGAAGGGAAGATTGTATTTTTGGAGTCCTGGCTGGAAGGTTCAGCCTGAATGATCTTCCTTTGGAGATCAGAGAAGTCAGATCTAGTTGTATTGATGAGAATGCTGTCAATATAGCAAAGCCAAGAGATAAATGAAGGAATGATAGTTGGAAAATGTTCAGGTTCGAGAGGCTCCATAAGAGGTTCACCACGATTGTGTTTAATGGGGATTCCATTGGTTAGCCGAAGGTCTATTGAAAGGAGGAGGAAGCATGAAGGAGTAACTATTGAGACCTACTTAATTATTATTATAATCAAAAAGAAGCGCTAAGCCACAAGGGCTATACAGCGAGACCTACTTAAGAGATCCAAGAGTTCCACAAAATTGTGATAAGATAGATATATCAAGAGAGTCATCAGTTTTTTTTTTTTTCTTTTGGTGTGTGATATCTATAACTTGAGAAATGGTTACCTTGGTGAAGAGGGGAGTTATGCTCCTAAAATTAATTCCAGTTATGTTTATGTCCCAAATACTGTTGATAACTCTTTAAGATGGGCAAAACTGATGGTGCCTAAAAGCTTGGAGAGGTGTTTAGCTAGAATGGCTGCTAGCTTGTGACAAGTGCTGCCTCTTCCTGAGGGAATCAGTCTTTGTAATTCTTACTGTAGTTTGGGGTTGGAGGAAGTAGCTTGAACTTGAATAATTTGCCGGAACATGTCCTGCCCCGGGTCATTTCCAGATGGTGACCCAGCGAGAGAAGTAGCTTCTCTCTACTGTTCTGAGTGCTTCAAGATTTGTCAGGTTTTGTGGAGGAAAGTCTTTGTGAGGATGTCTACTTTTGCTGGTGTAAGTGATTAATAGGTGTCTCAGTCATTGAGGAGATTTAGCATTTTTTATTTGCAGTTGATTATTTCATTGACAGTAGTGGCAGTGTCCATGTCTTTGTCAAATGCTTTCCGAGGTTGTTACGGAGAGGGCAGAGATGATGATGATACCCCTGAGGCAGCCTGCCCTCTTAACCACAGCATGGCACTGTTGTAAAAACAGTCAAATGGGTGGCTATTGATGGAGCCTTAAACAGCTGAAATATGACTTTTACATAAGCCACACACAGTGGGTGCTTATTTTCTGTTTGCATGGCAAACTTTTTGTTTTGATTTTTTATCTTATACTTATGGATTTTCCTTTTTAATGTAACCTAACCCATTCTAATTTAGAAATAGGCTACAAACCCTATGTGAAAGTGTGACATGGTTTCTAGGAGGATGGGTTGCCTGAGGATAACCTTTCTGGAAGTCCATTTCACTATATCTGTAGTTTTTGGTGACTTAGATCATTTTGTGCTTTGGGTACATCTACCACAGATTTGAGGCCTAGGCTGATTATTGTAATCAAAACCAATTGTTAGCATGAGGGGTCAAGGCCCAAGCTGAATACTTAAGTTTTGGTGATAGAGAGGTGGCCATAGACAGGTTTTGTGTGATGTCATATCTACCTAGTTTTCAGTTGTTCTTGCAAAAGAGGTGAATTTTGTGTGTAAGTTTGAGTTTACTCAGCATGTTGGATGTGGTGATCCTGCTGCATATTTCTGTGTAACTTCCAGTCATGTTATCCCATAGCATGGTACAGTACCTAAAATTCCAGCTTGACAAAGAAGTCTCTTTGGTGGAGATGTTGAGGTCATCAGCATTCTCTTCTAGGTAAGCATGTGCTGTGATAGAGAAGGAAGATCTGTGGTTGGAAATTTTGCATAATTGCTAAAGAGAATGAATTTCAGAAGAGTAGGTGCCTTGAATCAGCACCTATCAGTATTACTAACACCTTAACTGGAATACTGACTTAGCAGAATTATGGCTAGAAAATCTTAGGGGGTTTGGGAACCATTGTGATCTGACATGCACCTCTTTTTAACTTTCCACCTCACCTCAACTTGCTAATATTTATACACTTATCTTGTCTCTCCTGGAATTTTATTTGTGAGATGGTAAAGCTAACTGTATGTGTGAAATGTCAGCATTAAAATCGCCATTTAACCACATTTGCATCTATCATTGTGCTGGTATCTCATACTTACCAGCCCTTTGTAGTCCTGGAGTAAGACTTACCCACATTGAACTGTATCCGTAGGACCTGCCTAGCATAGACCAGTAGGCCCACTGTACTGCTCTGTTCTTAAGTATCTCACTTTTCTGACCTATCCAAATCATCCTGAAGCTCCCTGATGTCCTCTGGATTTATTTTTCTTGTGTGTGTTATTGCCAACTTTGTTTTTCTTTCTTCTAGGTAGATAATATACATTGTTAAGTTCAAGGGACACAATACTGAGCACTGGGGAATGTCACGTGTGACTGGTCTCCATTCTGATTTTTCTTCATTTATGCTAACTATTGCCTGTCATTCATTCCTGCTTCAATCCACTAGTGAATTTCTCCTCCAACACTGTGCTGTTCATTTTTTTATTAGTCTCCCATGTAAAACTCAATAATTTTACTGAAGATCTGGTAAATATCATTGTAGTGTTCATCATGCTCCACCACCTTAAATACCGTATTGAAAAAAAAAGAGTAATTTTTTTTTAAGGAAGAATGTTCTATTATGAAACTGTTTTGAGACTAGGAAAGTTATGCCAAACTTGTGGGCCACCACTTGATTTTCTCGTTTAATGGAGCCTAAAATTACAACTATTAGGCTAAAGGTTAAAAAGGGGTCTTTGTACTCAAAAAGGTTGGTAATTAATCGACTAAATTATAGAGAAGTACAAATTTAGTAACTTCACTGATGGCATAAAATAGTTCGATAAATGAATTCTGAGAACGTCCGGAGCTTCTGGATGATTTGGACGAGTTTTAGTGGTGGTTGGAAGAGTGGCAAAGTTCAATTTAGACAAATGTAAGATTTTAATCCTGGAAAAAGAAAGTAACCTCAACATCAGTAAACTAAATATCACATAATTTATCAAATAAGGAAGAGATACAGTACAGAGTTTTGGTTTCAAGAAATCTAAGGCAAAAGTCCATAAGTGTTGGAAAAAAAAAAAACTTGAAGGCATCCTGCTTTCACATCAAGCTGAAACCTTATGCTACAGTGCGACACATTGTTAGTAAAACCTCGTTTAGATTCAGAGTAGACATGGTCTACGTACCATATTGTAGGATGACAAATTTAAATTTGTGTATCACTCAGATATCTATTTTAAGAATATAGATTTGAAAGAATAAGGGGGAGTTCATTACGTAAATGATATGAAGAATAAATAAAGGGGATGTAAACATGGTGTTATAAATAACTTGTAGAAATGGATACAGCTTGAATCATTTCTGATTTAGAAATGATATACCTTATGGATGCTTTGAGGAGTCAATACCTCCCTGGGGGCCAGGTCCCAGACCAAGCCTCCAGTGGATTGAGGCTTGATTAACCAGTCTGATACTGCAGCTGCATGCAGTGCAACATATGAATGACAGCCTGGTTGATCAGGAACTGATTTGAAGAAGCTGTCCAGTTTCCTCTTAAACACATCAAAGGTTTGTTGGTAATTCCCCTTACGGATGGAGGGAGGGCATTGAAGAGTCTGAGACCTCTGACATTCATCGAGTTCTTTCTTAGGGTATTTGTCAAGCCCCTGCATTTTATTGAAAGTAGTTTGCACCATCTGCCAAATCATTTGCTTTCACCTGGAGTGATTCTGATGTGCAGATTTGGGACCATTCCCTCCAGAATTTTCCAGGTGTCAATTATGGTGTGCCTTTCTTGCCTACATTCATAGGAATACTGTTGAAGGGATTTCATGCATTCCCAGTAGTTTAAAAGTTTGATTGAGTGTATACAGGCAGTGAAATTTCTTTGTACTTTTTCTAGCTCAGTAATCTTGCTTGTCTTGAAGGGAGCTGTTAGCATACAGCTGTATTCTAGCTTGGCAAGAACAAGTGACTTGAAGAGTATCATCATATTCATTGCTGTAGCAATAGCAACATTGTTGTGATCCTTTGACATCATTACTTCCATTTCTCTAACATGGAGCTTCTACTCTGTTGAATAATTTGAGTTCGTCCTGTACTCTGTTTTGGTCTTTATTTTCTCAGTTCTTACATAGTGGAGCAACTGAAACTTGTCCTCATTGAACATCATGTTATCATCTGAGACCCACTGGAAGACTTCATTTATATCCTTTTGAAGATTCACTGTGTTCAATGGATATCACTTTTATTAAGATTATAGTGTCATCAGCAAAGGATGTTACATTGGTGTTGATTTATATACTTGTCTGTCAGATATAAGAATGGGAAACGGAAGTGGGGCAGTTTAGAAATAGTTTAGAAGAGTAGAACTGCTAAGTAGCATCTTTGAAGTCATTACTTTGGGTAGCTATATAAGTTAGATAGCTATAAATGTGTAGGCTTTGCTTGGAATGGGCTAGTTGGCCTACTGTGGTTCTCTAGTTCTACGCTGTGTAGCTAAGTACCAAAAACTTTAACAGTTTAGTGGTAATACCTGTTTATATGATACTAAGCTTGACACTTTGATTATTACTGATTTTGTCATCAGCGAGGGCACTTGACTCACATAATGACTCTAACAACATACTCATTGCAGAAGCCAGGCATAGATACTCAAAAAATCAGAGAAAAGGGAATTAGTAAAATGACGATTTCTGAGTGGTGTATAACTGAAAAATCATTTTCACCATGAATATCATATGCACATGCCTGCAGGATTGAGGCACCAAAGTAAAGAGCAGACTCACGAAATCGCAATAAATAACACGATTGCAAACAAACCACAGAATGAGTGGAGTTTGAACCCATGGCACTGACCTGGAGTTTTAGAACTCGCTTGCCATGGGTTCAACCCCACCCGTTGTCTGGTTTGTAATGAGTAGTTTTGTTTACCTGACCTACTCAAGAATATACACCAGGCAAAGCATTGATAACAAATTATGTATTTTGCTTTTGAAAACTAGATGCTGTACGCTAAATGTCTTCACTTAACCGTGCAGTCAGTGATGCGGTGCTCTCTACTGATATGGGAGTTACCAAAGCAAAATATTCATATTATTTATTTCTATTTTATCTTCATAAATAGGATGGCCCCCTCCCCCCATCCCCCCACACACAAAAGAGGAGGGACCAGATAATGAGAGATGTGTATACTGAGATGGACAGTGAAGAGGCTAAGAGACAAATTAAGATTATAGCATTCTGGGAATGGGAAACAAAAGTGGAGAACTGGGAAGAGGAAGGTTTACCTGGAGAGGGTTTCGGGGTCAATGCCCCCACGGCCTGGTCTGAGACCAGGCCTCAAGGTGTGGACTCTTTCAGACTTAAAACCAAATGAGACAGTGGCAAAAGTGATACACTAGACAGTGAAGTAAGCTATTATAAATGCCATGGAGAGACAACCATACAATAAAAAAAACATCTGAGAATTTTGAGTCTCCTAGAACAGCAGGGCAAAAAAAAGCAAAGGTATACCTGAAGGATGTTTTCAGGGGTCAATGTCCTCACAATCTGGTCCCAGACCAGGCCTCCTGGTGGATCTAGGTCTGATTGACCAGGCTGTTACTGCTGGCTGCACATAGTCTAACTTATAAACCACAGCCCGGCTGATTAGGAGTCAGTTTGAGGAACTTTCAGGTTTTCTCTTGAAGACAGCCAGAGGTTTGTTGGTAATTCCCCTCACGCATGAAGGGACAGCATTGAAGTCAGAAGCCTCTTAAAGTTACTGGGTTCTCTTGATGTATTCATCGTGCCCCTGCTTTTTATTGGCGGTACTTTGCACCATCTGTGAAGTCTCTTGCTTTCATATGCAGTGATTTCAGTGTGCAGATAGATGTTAAGGAGATAAAAGTATTGTTAATTGTAATAACTGAGGCTGAAAAAATGAGCTGTTTTCTCAGAGAGAGATGTACAAAGGAGTGAAATTAAAGTTTTGTCTCAGCAGCATTGAGGCATTACATCCTTACCATGAAACTGAACCTCTATCATTAGGATATTGGTACAAAAAGGATCAAGCATAGCCGAGAAAAACAGCAAAGTCAAGGTGGGAGGAGTTAAAAAGAGAAAGCAGATGAGCAAGATACATTACACTTGTAAGGAAAGAACCAACAAACTAACTCCAAGGAGTAATAAGCAATAACATCTCCTTTATCCCTCTCCTCTTTGCCATAATGACTCCCATCCTCTATCCCTTACTTTCACCCCACCATCCTAGTCTGCCTCCCATCCAGGTCCTTCTCAACCCCCTTACTCTTATCTCTCTCTCTCTTGTAACTTTGTCTTTTCCATTTCAAATATACCCTTTCCTCCATGCTCCTGCCCCATCTACTCCCACTTGCACTTTCCACCACCAACCCTAAGATCACACAAATAGATTGACAGAATTGCATATACACTACTTCATTTCTGTATATGTCAGGTTAGGAAATTTTAAAACTGCCTTAAGGAACCATAACAAAGAAAAATACTTTAGAATTCTTTAAACAAAGGTCCAGCATATTCAGGAACTCGAGAAGCTTGCTATAAGATAGTCTCAGAAGTGAGGGAATTGAGCTATGAGGAGAGACTAAAAGAAATAAACCTGTTGACATTAGGAGAGAGAGAGAGAGAGAGAAAAAGGGCAAGACGTGAATATTTTATAGAAGATATTCAAGAGGATTTGATAGGACAGATAGGAACATGTTAAAATTTGAGGCATAGAGAGTTGGATTGTCTTGATAAAGACCTGACGAACAGTAATATGAAGGATAGCCAGCGGCTTCTTACAAAATATGCATGGTGACAAAACCACATATGGTCTTCCAGGAAGGTTAGATTCTGACCCTAGACAGATGAATAGGGTACTAAAATCTCTTGGGTAAGAGAAGAGGCATTTATGAGCTCATCAGAAGATTGAGTTGTCTTATAGGCCTGTGTGTTCAAATTAGCATGGGGGATGGGAGAGGCCCACTAAGAATGTGAAACTGAGAATTGCTGGGAAACCTGACCAGACCTAGACGTTTCTCCCAAGTGTATGAGAGGGATTAAGTAAGGGATGGGTCCACTTGTATCTAACTCAGAACAGCTTACTCATGATGACCGGGAAATGTTCAATTTTTGACAATTATTTCCTGTCTGTTTTCACACAGGAGGATGCAGGTGAAATCCCAGAAATTGCTATTTGTGGGGGCCTGATGAGGGCAGGTTGTGCGGGATCACAGTCGCTGAAGACATGGTTCTCAATCAAATGGGTGGACCCTTTGAAGCAGGATGAGTCATCGGGAAGCGGTGAACTGTTTTCGGGGGTTCTTGAAGAGTACGAGGAGGAACTTTGCAAATCATTGTTAGCTGGTTTCTTCAATGTGCTACACAAATGGGTGTCATATTGGGGGGGATATATTGGGTGGCCAGTATGATATCTATGTAAAGGATGAGAGATGGGCCCAACCTTCAAATTAACACCCAATCAGCCTGATCTCAATAGTGGAAAAATTACTAGAATCAATAATAAAAGTTACAATTTGAAGTTACCTTAATGAAAATAATAATTTGATAAAGAGTCTCAACACAGATTCATAAAGGGTCATTCTTGCCTAACAAACTTTCTGAACACTTTTTCACTAAGGTATTTGAGGCAGTGGATCAGGATAGAGTATAATGATGTCTATCTTATTTACAATAAGGTTTTTAATATATTTTAACATAGGATACTGTTGAAGTAGCAGCACATGATACTGGAGAAAAATTCTTTCATGGATCAATGTCTGACTGATGGCAGCAAAGAATTTACAGTATAAAATGTAAAATCAAAATGAAGATCTGTCACAAATCACATTCCAGAGTCTCCTTGGTTATAATCTTCATTAACAACCTACACAGGATAATATATAACAACATGAGTCAGTTTGCTGATGACACAAAAATAGGCTAAAAAAATAAAGTGGACAAGTGGCAGATTCAAATCATTGTTCAAAATTTTTTCTCATTCTTTAAAAGAATTGTGCCGCAACTCAAACAAGGTCTTACCAGAAATGTATGATTAGATGTAGTAATCTCAAAACACTTTTACCAGGGAAAACTTTTATTTTACGTCTCTCCCACAGTTGCTGAAATTTCGTACAATAAAGGTTGTCCCTCGAAATTACCACCTGTAGGTTTATACTATTGTTTACCGTACTGAGTAGTGTTGTAGTGGATGGCAAATTTATTTTTTCCTCCAAGGTTTCTGTGCGATAACCCTAAAATGTCTCTTCTGATCGGCTTCAAGCTTTCAATGCTGATGTATTATAGAGGAAGGTTTGAAATGTTAATGGGCTGCGTAGGTGCCAGTCTTCAAAGACAGAACACAAAGGCACAATACTGTGACTGGAACAATACACAAATAACCTGCATATAGGAGAAAGAAGCTTCATGATAGTTTTGGTCTGACTTGGACCATTAATTAGTCACACTAGTTAATGATCCAAGTCGGACTGAAACATTGTCATTAAATTTATTTCTCTTATGTGTGGTTTATTTGTGTACAATTTGCCAAATTTATGAAACAAATTGAGATATTGGCTTCCATGTTATAACTTGAGAATAATTACTGATTGGCTTCAAACTTTCAATACTATTGTATCTTACATGACAGAACATTCACACTGTTATTGGGCTGTATTAATTCCAATTTGCCATTTTTTTTTTATTTTCTTTTTTTTTTTTTCAAAAAATTAAGTGGCATTTTTTTTTTCATAACCAGAATGCCTCTTCTGAATGACTTCCAATTAACAGTGCTGATGTATTTAACCCAAAAATGATTCAGGTTAGTTTTGGGTTCTGTTAGTGTCAGTTTGCCAGTTTTATTGAACAGACTGGGATATTGATTTGCCAGTTTTATTGAACAGACTGGGATATTGATTTGCCAGTTTTATTGAACAGACTGGGATATTGATTTGCCAGTTTTATTGAACAGACTGGAATATTGATTTGCCAGTTTTATTGAACAGACTGGGATATTGATTTGCCAGTTTCATTGAACAGACTGGGATATTGATTTGCCAGTTTCATTGAACAGACTGGGATATTGATTTGCCAGTTTCATTGAACAGACTGGGATATTGATTTGCCAGTTTTATTGAACAGACTGGGATATTGATTTGCCAGTTTCATTGAACAGACTGGGATATTGATTTGCCAGTTTTCATTGAACAGACTGGGATATTGATTTGCCAGTTTTATTGAACAGACTGGGATATTGATTTGCCAGTTTTATTGAACAGACTGGGATATTGATTTGCCAGTTTCATTGAACAGACTGGGATATTGATTTGCCAGTTTTATTGAACAGACTGGGATATTGATTTCACTTTCACAGTTATTGAGAATGCCTCTATATATCAACTTTGAATACTGTATCCTACCTTAAGTCTTAAGAAAATTTTAGGTTTTTATTGGGTTATGTGGATGCCAATTTCTTTGAAAAACTGGATGATATCATATCCTTCTGGAGTACTAAAAAAATTGGGGGAATCAGATTGCAAATTTCAATGGAATATCATATCGTCTTAAATCTGCACCATATTATTTACTAAATTACCATTAGCCTAGTTTAAGAGATATTAAGGATCCTAGTATGAGGACAGCTGAATGCTTTTGAAAAAAAAAAAAAAGTTAAAAAAAAAAAAAAATGTAAAATATTCGTATCAGTGTGTAACTTGTCAGTGGTTACATTTCTACACGATAATTATTGTAGTTTTATGCAGCTTTTAGTTTTGCAATTATAATGTTAATTAGCATGATGTCGGTAAAGTTTTGTGGGTATTTATGTTGATTTTTTTTTTTTTATTAATATTGTTTGTAAAAATTAGATGTTGGAAACCTCTCAAGGAGGTTATTTGATGCCATCGACTGCTTTTGGTCCAATGAAATGGATCTACCCAACCCTTCCTTGGACTGAACCTCGTTGCTTCCTATTCCCCAAGGCACTGTATGACCCGATGGGTTTAGTGCAACCTCCCTCCCATGAATGTAATTGACATTAGCAAGACTGGTGTGTAGAGGAGTGGCCAGACTATTATTATTACAATCAAAATTAAGCGCTAAACGTACAAGGGTCATAGAGCACTGCAGGAGTGGTCATGGAGCTCAGTGCTCCGTCACTCACCGATGGAATGTGGCGGTGGCTTACAAGTTTTAATTTCACTCTTTGACTTCTATTATCCTTCATATTTATTGAGGTATTTGATTTCTTTTTTTTTATGTTGTAAATATTAGTTCTGTAAACCTATATTTAGCAGAAATTATAAATGTATTTAAGTTTTCTACTTTGAATCTTTATGTTTTTTTTAATTATTATTTTTTTTTTTTCGAAAAACTAAGGATAATATCTATATTGGAAGTAAGTTAGTGTGTCTTTTAACTAAAATTATTAACTAGAATATTTGGAAGTTAATAACAATTGCCCCATTTTGATGTAAAGTTCATAGATGTCTTTTTTTTTTTATAACCATTTATCTTACACCAGAGTTTTTAAAACTTTTGAAATTGTGGAACCTTTAATTAAAAGAACAAATTCCTGAAACCTCGAACAAAAGTTAAAAAGTTATGCTACGTTACGTAATATGCAAAATATCAGCATACGTGTACATTTGTGTACATTTCATTGATAGATTAAATATCAGATTGGAGGAAGTGGTTGTGTTCAGACATTTGGGAGTAGCATCAGCAGGTGGGTCTGTGAAACACAAGATGTGTCGTGGGGGTTCATCATGAGATATTGAAGTAAGAAATACACTATGTTAGATGTCTTGGAGGTGTATAATTAAGAGAGTCTTGAGGATAGCCCAGGCCTGTCTGTCGAGTCTAATCTGTGCCTAGCATGGAACTCTGTGACTTAGGGCGGGACCTCTGGGCTACCACTCGTGTGAGGATCTTATGACGTCACAGCCAGCAAGGGAGCCTATCTATAAAGTAGCTGGGATTATCTAAGTATACTACACAAGTAAACAGTAACACTATTGACAGGTGAACCATAGAATAGATGAAGGGAAAAGGGTGAGTGGTGTGGCGAGACATCTGGGGTAAGACATCCATCTATGGAGGCAAAAATAGGGAATGTACCATAGTATAATGGTACCAGCACTTGTATGGATGTGAGGCATGGGTTTTAAATGGTGCAGTGAGATCAGTGTATGATGTGAATATAATGCAGAGGGGTCAGGGTGTAGAAGATAAAAAAGAAACGATGTGGGTTACCAAGGGTATAATTCAGAGGGCTGAGGTGGTTTGAGCATTTAGAGGATGGTGACAAGAGAAGTGACATTTAGAGAGGATGGTGACAAAGAGAGTGTACAAGTGGTGTGGAAGGTAAGGGTCATCCCATCAACAGGTATGGGGAATAAAGGAGCGAGTTTTAGAAGCTTCAGGATTGTACTCGCCTAGTTGCGGTTACAGGGGTCAAGTCACAGCCCCTTGTGTGAGTCCATTAGATAAGAATGAATGGAGAAAAGTAGTTTTAAGAAACATGCTGCTGGAATGTGAGTAAGGTAACATTTATGAAGGGATTCAGGGAAACCAGTTAGGTGATGTGTGAAGGACAGTGCCTGCACTCTGAAGAAGGGATGAGGTTGTTGTATTTCAGTTGTAATTTGAATTGTGATGTCAGCAAACTTCTTGCAGGATGATTGAGTGAATGATGGTGAGTGTGGTTCCTCTTTTTGGGTTTAATTGCATTACACTACATTACCTGGAGTATACCTGGAGAGGGTTTGGGGGGGGGCCAATGTCCCCGTGGCCTGGTCTGAGACCAGGCCTCGTGGTGGATCAGGGTCTAATCACCCCAGGCTGTTACTGCTGGCCTTACGTAATCTGACGTACAAGGAGGTAAAAATAAAAAAGGCTTAGCCATTTACCAGTGAAAGAAAATATCTTGTTTATAAAAACATACAAGAAGGTACCACAGCTAGTGCTAATTGGGGACCCTTAGCCTCAGAGAAGATAATAAATTCACTTCAGAGAGAAATCCAGAGCTATTTGAGTATTTTCTTCCTTACCACCCCTATATAGCTTTGTTGCATTATTAAATTTTTCAGTGTAAAATAAAAATGGCTAATTTTACAGTTATTGATGGGGTAATTGTAATAGTTTAATAAATGTTCAATAACTTGGATGTGATTGCTTTTCCTTGGATAAAAGTTCAGCAGTTCTTATGTGTGAGCAGAGAACTTTTTCTATATTTAGCTTACATTGTCTTTTATTGCCATATATAAAGAGAAGGTTGTTTTACAGAGATGCACTTTTGATATGAAAATAATGTAAGATACTTCAGTGATCATGTGGCAACTTTATTATACTCTTCTAACATCTGAATTCAGAAATTAAGCTCAATGTGATTTTTTTTAAATTGGCTTAAGTCAAAATATCTCCTAAATTGTTCCTTCTCTCTTAATGGTAATTCAGACAGTTACACGTGAATGAAAATTATTTTGAACCCAGTCTCACTTTTCTGTTGGAGGGCGAAGTACAGTGGTACCTCGGGATACGAACACCTCAAAACTTGAACAATTATGTAAGTGTTTTTGTGTAAGTACTTTTGTAAGTGTATTTTTGGGGGTCTGAAACGGATTAATTTAATTTACATTATTCCTTATGGGAACAAATTCGGTCAGTATCGGCACTCGAACAGCCTTATGGAACGAATTAAGTTCGTATCCCGAGGTAACACTGTATTCCTTAGTCATTCTGTGCAAATCAGAAAGATGTATCTGCAAAATTTAGAAATATTCACAGGGGAAGAACTTCATTCATTTATAGTCCCTAAGATTTGGAAAGCATCAAGATATTTCATAGAAACACCCCAAAGTTTGAGTTTGGTTGAACTACATTCGTTTTACTTTAAACATGGGAACTAGTTATGTTAATTCCTTGCAATGAAACATTAAATTCTTCAGGGTGCATAAATATATCAGCCACATATACCACCTTCTGTATCCAACATTTATTACTTAAATTGTTAATTCAATTATTATAAGTAGTATAAGCACTAAAACTCTGCTGATTCAAAAGAATGCTCTGATAAAAAAAACTTTTTACAGCTCTTTCCAAGTTGATATTATTATACCTCTCCTCAGTCTTTCATGATATGTCCCACAAAACCCTATCAAATTCCTGTGTAACCCTTGCAGCTTGTTAAACTTGAGATAAGTTCATGTGCTCCTCGACTTAAGAATCCATCCTAAGTTGAAAATGTTGTAAGTTGAATATAAATACAGTGGAACTTTGGTTTTCGTACTTAATCCGTTCCAGAAGGTCGGTCTAAAACCGAATTAATATTTCCCATAAGCAATAAGGTAAATACAATTAATCTATTCCAGACACCCAGAAATTTTACCTGGAGAGGGTTTCGGAGGTCAATGCTCTCGCGGCCCGGTCTGAGACCAAGGCCTCATGGTAGACCAGGGTCTGATCAACCAGGCTGCTACTGCTGGCCACGTGCAAGCTGACGTATGAACCACAGCCCGGTTGGTCAGGTACTAAGTACCTGTCCAGTGCCTTCTTGAAGACAGCCAGGGGTCTATTGGTAATCCCCCTTATGTGTGCTGGGAGGCAGTTGAACAGTCTTGGGCCCTGGACACTTATTGTGTTGTCTCTCGGTGTACTCGTGGTGCCCCTGCTTTTCATCGGGGAATGTTGCATATCCTGCCGAATCTTTTGCTTTCGTAAGGAGCGATTTTCGTGTGCAGGTTTGGTACCAATCCCTCCAGGACCTTCCAAGTGTATATTATCATGCATCTCTCTCACCTGCATTTGAGGGAATACAGATCAAGGACCTTCAACCGTTCCCAGTAGTTTAGGTGCCTTATCGTACTTATGTGTGCCGTGAAAGTTCTTTGTACACTCTCCAGGTCTGCAATGTAGCCAGCCTTGAAGAGGGCCGTTAGTGTACAGCAGTATTCCAGCCTAGAGAGAACAAGCAATGTGAAGAGAATCATCATGCTTGGCGTCCCTAGTTTTGAAGGTTCTCATTGAAATGTATTAACAAAATATATTAACAAAAAATACATTTTTTTAAAGAATAACTATAGTTTTACATACAGAAAACAATGAGAAATAAATATAAATTAATTTTAATGATAAATGAACATTACATACCTTTACTGAAGACTCATGTTGGCATATAGAAGAAGGCGAGGCGGGGAGGAGGAGTTGAGGTTATTGTCTGGAAGGGGAATCCCCCCCATGAGGACTAAACATATCAAAGCTGTCTCTGGGGTTACTTCTCTTCTTTGTTTTTTAATGGGACTGGACCCCTGTCACACTAAAAATCTGTTATGAGAGCTCTTTCTGGCGTCTTTAACATTTGCCTAAAATGAGACAAGGTATTGTCACTGAACATGTTGCAGATACAGCTTGTATCAGCTTTGTCAGGGTGATATTTTTCAACAAAAGTTTGTAACTCATTCCACTTTGCACAAATGTCCTTAATCACTGAAGAAGGCACCTATTCTCCTTTCTCTTCCTCCTCCTCTGAAGCAATTTCCTCAGCTGTGGTCTGTTCCTGTTCCAAATGAAGTTCAGCTCTTCAGTGGTTAGCTCTTCCCTGTGGTGCTCCACCAACTCTTCCATATCCTGGCCACTCACCTCCAACCCCATGGACTTCCCCAAAGACACAATACATTCCACAACAGGCATAGGGTTGACAGGGTCAGCCTCAAGCCCTTCAAAATCCTTCTCTTGGACACATTCTGGCCACAATTTTCTCCAAACAGTTTCAAGTCCTGGAAGTCACTTCCTGCCAAGCCTTACCTATAAAGCTAAACATACCCCACTCTCGTTATTTTCTACAATCTCTTTCTGTCGTTTCTCACCTTCTTTACCATAGGACTGGCACTAGGAGCTCTCTTTGGGCCCATGGTGGCTTATTTCGCAGTCACAATCAATAAACAAGCACAAAAATTGCGAAATGTTCCAGATGAATGCTCACTCTACCAGTGATAGAGCCAGACTGATGGCATCCCAGGCGGGCAGATACGTACGATTTGTGATGAATGATTTGAAAACCGACGAGTTGAAGATTGAGACACTTATGCAACATATGGGAATCTTTATTGAGGAAACGTTTCACCACACAGTGGCTTCATCAGTCCAGTACAAAGCAGAAAGGTGTAAGGAGAGGAGGAGTTGGGGTAATCAGTCCCTCAGCCTGGAGTCGATTTGTACAGTCCATCAATCTTGTAGAATGTACAGCATAGGGCCGTAGACGTGGCTTATATACTGTAGTCAGGTGAGGAGAAGCAGGAGGAGGTGGGGTCATAGTGGTACCATCCACTAGTCGAAGTAGGTCTTCGTCCTAAGATTGGACAAGTGTTGAAGAATTCTTTGTATCAAGATCCCATGATGATGCAGTGTTTGACAGTTATGATGAATGGTTTTGAAAACCGACAAGTTGAAGATTGAGACACTTTTGCAACATATGGGAATCTTTATTCAGGAAATGTTTCGCCACTGTGTGGGGAAACTTTTTTTTTTATCAACTGAATCTGAACTACATTTTAGCGATTTTGAATGTGTGACGTTATCTTTTTACAAAAAATTGAAGCTATGTCAAAGTACAATTTCAGATATTACTCTAATATACTGCATCCCATTAAGATTTTGGTTTTTTGAACAAAGATCAGGATTGTTCTCCCCTTCACACCACTGATAGCACCCAACACCGTAGCATAACCCGTATATTTAGGGGTAGCACCAGTTGCTGCCATAGGGGCCCCCCGTCAGACTCTTCTGGCATTCCTTGGATGAATCTAATGTTGAATTCGCCACTAAACATCACCTTCCACTATGATTATTGTTATATTCATAACTAAGCGCTAAACTCACAAGGGTCATACAGCGCTGCTCTGAACCTCAATGCTTGAATTTGTTGGAAAAATCCAACTCTTAGTAGTCTAAGCCTTGGAAATCAGGTGTTCTCGAGGCACGCCACAAGGGACAGTGGATGTGTTTCTTCAACCTGTAGCGTAGGGTCCTCTCCCACATCTTTCAACACATTTGGGTGAGTGTTTCTTTACCTCATATGACGCAATTTCAGGGTTTTGGGTCACTAATCTTTTGAGTAACCTATCTGTGTTGAGGTCTTAGATCAACCAGGGATCAGTTTAGGAACATGACAGAGAGGCTTAATAGCCTACTCAAACTACTCAGTTCACCATCCTCTTTTCTTCCCGGAGATATTCTCTTCTCACAAGTTCTCTCCTCCTTAGAAAGGAAGCTGCTAAGCATATTCACAATTAACAATAATAATACAGTTGGGTGAGCAAACCAAAAATCCACCAATAAATCATGAAAAGACAACCACACACCTCCAGTGTTACAGGTGTACTAATGATGGTTCATATTGCTGCCACACTCCAGGTATGTACGCAGCGTTGTATAGCCCTTGTGGTTTAGCGCTTCTTTTTGATTATAATAATAATCCAGGTATGTACACAGCTTTACCAAACGTAAACAATCCAGAGCAGATAGTCGACACTCGCATATAATTTTGCTCTTTTCCTCCATAAATCTGAACGCAGAGAACAAGATTTTTTTTATTTTGCTGGCACAACATTGAGGTGTTATCAAAAAGTTCCTGAACTCTAATATTCACGCACTTCCTGGGTTAAATGTGGTGGCCACGTAAATTACTCTGCACACTACATGTATCTGTTAAGCAGCGGGGGACGTTCGTGGTCGGTCATTCCGTTGAGGTTAGACGGGCATTTTGTGTCGTGTTATCAGGGGGTAACAGAATGGAATCTTTAAAAAAAAAAACAGTGTGCGTGTGTGAAATTCTGTTTCAACCTCAGTAAAAGGGCTACTGAAAGTAGTACAAACTGTTTCAGCAAGAATTTACCACAAACAATGGGTCAATGTTTTGAATGATTTTCTCAAAAGTAGGATGAATGTTAGTTGAGGATGGTGAATGCTCTGGTGTCCATCAACATAAAAAACAGACGCCAACACCGAACTGAGAAAGCCTACTCACTAAGATTGTTGTCAGAGTATCCAGTACATTGCAAGTGTTGTGGGAATGTCTTATGGATCGTGTCAAAGCATTTGGACTGAAAATTTGAACATGTGGTGAGTGGCTGCGAAGTTTGTGCCTCCTTACTGACTGAAGACCA